GTCTAGATAGACAGTTTCTTCCAGGTGCTGAGGGAGCTGTCGTGCCACCACACTCTCAACAACCTTCGCAAGAAAGCGAAGGTTGGAGACAGGACGGTAGTTGGCCAAAACAGCCGGGTCCAGGGAGGGCTTCTTGAGGAGGGGCCTCACCACCGCCTCTTTCAAGGCGGCCGGCAAGAACCCCTCACTCAAAGAAGCGCTGACGATTCCCTGGAGCCAGCCTCGTGTAACCTCCCGGGAGGCCAGTACCAGCCAGGAGGGACACAGGTCCAGTAAACATGTGGTGGTGTTCAGCCGTCCCAGTATCCTGTCCATGTCCTCGGGAGTCACAGGATCAAACTCTTCCCAAAAAGTGGACTCAAGACCTTCCTCCGTTGGCCCGCCTGAACTAGTCCAATCGGAGGCTAACCCGGCCCGGATCTGATCGATTTTGTCATGCAGGTAGCACCCAAATTCCTCCGCCCGCCCCTGCAGAGGGGCACCCCGGATCCACTGATGAAGGAGGGAGCGGGACACCCCAAACAGGGCGGCAGATCGGTTACCTACAGACGCGATAAGAGCGGAGAAATAGTTTTGTTTTGCCGCTCTTATCGCCACTAGGTAAGTCCTTAAATGAGACTTTACCAGTGTCCGGTCAGATTCGGAGCAGGTGGTCCTCCAATTGCCCTCTAGGCATCTCTTCACCCTCAGCTCCTCAGAGAACCAAGGAGCCAAGGTAGTCCGGCATTGGGTGAGAGGCCGCAAAGGCACGACCCGGTCCAGGGCCCCCACGGCCGCACCATTCCAGGCGGCCACCAGGTCCTCAGTCGAGCCGCGGGTCAAGGTCTCGGGTATTGGCCCAAGCTCCGTCTGGAACCTCTCGGGGTCCATCAGGCGCCTGGGGCGGAACCATTTTGTCACTTCCGGTTCCGCCTCCCCGCGGTGGGGCGTAGCGGTGGGAAAGGCCAGCCGAAGGAGAGAGTGATCTGACCATGACAGGGGCTCAACGACTATTTCCCCTAAACCACGATCACTCAACCACTGGCCTGAGGCAAAAACTAAGTCCAGTGTGTGTCCTCCGGTGTGGGTAGGGACATCAACTAATTGGGTCAGGTCCATGGCCGTCATGGAGGCCATGAACTCCCGAGCCACCTCAGATGCTTCACCTACCGACGGCAGATTGAAATTCCCCATGACTAACAGTCTGGGGGTCTCAATTGTCATCTCGGCTATCACACTGAGAAGCTCGGGTAGGGCTGCTGATACATAGCGGGAAGCCAGGTATACAATCAGCACGCCCTGCTGCCTCCCATGACCCCACTTCACACCTAGGGATTCACAACCGGCAGTCTGTGGCACAGTGGTCTCTCTTGGGTCCAGGCCTTCCTTGATAACCGCCACCCCCCCACCCCGACCCTGGGCTCTCGGCTGGTGAAATGCACGGTAACCTGGCGGGCACATTTCAACGAGGGGCACCACCCCCCTCTTGGCCCAGCCAGGTCTATTGAATAGAATTCTATTCTATTCTATCGAGGCTTATTCTATTCTATTCATATAAAGAAGGAGGCTTGATCACCTCAGCTGATTTTTCTGAATATTACCCAGGATTCCTCAAAGAATTTTGATTTTTATCCCTTCTCATAGCTCCAGAAACGCTGAAGCTGGACCCTGTGAGTGCTCATCCTATGCTTGAACTGGCCAAGGAGAATACTATGGTGAAATATGGACTATTCTTCCAACGGCGAGACAGCAATCCTGAATGCTTTGACTACAGCAATTGTATCCTGGCTAATAAGGGCTTCTCCTGGGGAAAGCACTACTGGGAGATTATTGTGGGCTCCAAGAGTCACTGGCGCCTGGGCATCATCAAGGGCACAGTCAACCGCAAAGGCAAACTGAGTAAGAGCCCAGAAAATGGGGTCTGGCTCATTGGCTTAAAAGAGGGCAAAGTATATGAGGCCTTCAATACCAGCAGACTGGTTTTGCCGATCTCAGCCCGACCCCAACAAATTGGAGTCTACCTACACTATGAGAAGGGAGAACTAACCTTCTACAATGCTGACAGCCCAGATGAGCTGATACCAATCTATACTTTCCAAGCAGAATTCCAAGGCAAGCTATACCCCATTTTGGACATGTGTTGGCATGAGCGGGGTATCCATAACAACTTACCCATTATACTACCTACTCCCCAAATGCTGCAGACTGAGGTTGACTGCACCAATACTGATGAGCCCACCAAGTTATAATACGATATAATATGCTACTATTGTGTCAAGTTACTGGGAAAGCTCCAGACTGTCTTTATGGGAGCAATAAATGTAAACTAAACTGTTCCTCTGAATAGAACTCATTCAATTTAAAGAATTCTAGAGACCTGCCTCAGGACTCTGTTTTGTTTTTAGTGCACCTGACTATATAAGGGCATTTTGGCTTTAAGGGTCCAAATCAAGACTACATATAAAGCAACAGAGCGAACTCCATGCCAAAGTGTGGAATCTCAATGACATCTATACTTCCCCACTAGTTAACTACTAACTAGAGGATAGTTTAGTCCAAAATTACAGGAGCTCAGTTGAAAGGAACACTATGTTTCCATTGTTTTCAGAGGGTTTTTGCAGAATAACTTCCTTGTGATGCATTGTTTGTGCCTATGGAGGAGTTCAACTGGCATTCTAGGAAATGATGCTCAGAATCTATTGCTTGGAACAAACATCTGACTTTGCCTCTAGGCTGCTTCTGGGAAGCCTGCTAGGCAATCTATTTCAAAGGCCAAATTTTTTCCTTCTTTCTGCTTTTCAGTCTTCTTTTTTCCTCTATTGTTACCCATTTTAGCAAGTTTTACAAATCTGAAAGGCTAGTTCTATTTAATGTTATTTAAATTAAAATGCCCAAATTAATATTTTATATTCTAGACTTTCATGCAAGAGTATAATGAATGCAATAAGTAAATATTTCATCAAGGTTGTAAAAAATGGCAAGCCAGCACAAATAATTTAGCGCTATCGCAATGCAAGTATAGCCTAAAAAGTTGAATTCATTAATTTCTATCTGTACATATTAATGCATTAAATTTGTTTACTTGGAAGATTTTTTTCAGTTGTAGCACCGGCTTATTATGTCTCACTTCTTCTCTTTGCTATTGGTGGTTTCTATTTGCTTTTAGTGGTTTAAAAGCCAATACTGTTTTTTAATCTTTTATACTGAATAAAGTGATTTTACAATCTTTTTA